GCGCCGCTCGATCCCGCACGTCGGGGCAGCTGGGAAGTTGCTGGGAGAAGGGCGAGGTGAGGATGCACACGGAGGCGCCGGAGCTGGGCTGCCCGGGACAGCTCGGGCAGTGGAGCGGGGGTTTTCGCGCGGAGCCGTCGCGGGTGGATGTGCTGCCTGAATGGCTCGGGCAGCGCGGGAAGCTCCGCAGCCGGTTTGCAAACCCAGTGCTCGGTTTTGCCGGTGAGGCGAAAGAGGTGGGGAGCGCCGGGAGCGGTGCGAGGCAAGGGGTGATGAATGCGCCTTTCTTTAACGTGCTTAAACGTACAGAAGATCAGCCAGGGACTCCTGTGTGAGACATACGCACATGCACCCCTCAGGATTACAAAATGCAGGCTGATGATGTCCAAAATCCACCAGCCAAGAAAAATAGTCGTTTACTAAAAGCTTTTCTTAGGCTGTAAATTGCCAGCACATTCATTTAAAATAAATAATTAAATTAAAAAAAAAAAAAAAGAAAAAAAGTTTATTTGAGTTGTCCTAGACATTGTTCTGCAGCAGCTGTTTGTTGTCTGAACTCTGTTTGCTTCCAGCACAGCTTGGTTTTGGGGTGGAAATGCACATTGATTCAGACTGTTGTTCTCCAAAGCCCTTTCTGTTCTTAAGTCCAACAATGCAAAGACAGGCCTGAAAAAATTTGCGTATTTACTTTTCATCAGAAAATGCTTTAGAAATAAAGGCAATATACACAAGCTTGTCTTTGAAGAATATGCGTGCTTGTCCCCCTGCTTTGCTTTTCTTGAAGTTTTCATTAGTTGCCACAGGATAGGATTGTTGGTGGAGAAGGGAGAACAAGAATGTGTGTGCACTGGGATAGGCTTGGTTGCCTTGTTTAGATCTTCCCATTGATGCTTGGTAGGGAGGCAAATGCAGTTTGCAGCTGATTTATAGTTAAGTTGCAGTAGGGTGTGCTGTGTGAGTGCTGTAACATGGCCTGGTGTGGACAAAAAGAGAAAAGTTCAATCCTGTTCTCTCACCCTTCAGATTGCTTTGACTTCAGCGTGAGGGAAAATTGAGAGCAGTTTGGCTTTAGAAGCAAGTTGCTCTGGGCTCTCCTTACTGGAAAATTCCAAGTGCCTGCGGTGAGATGGTCAGACAAGTCCTGGGCTCACCAGGGGGCTTCTACTGGGGCTCCAGTTTCTGCTGGGTTCTGGATTCTTCAGGGTTTACTGAGCAAGGGGCTCAGTGTTAGTGCCCCAGCTGGGCAATGGGAATTGCACATTCCAGAAGGATGGCTGTGGGCTGGCTCGGCTGCCTGCCCTCTCTGCAGTGCTGGGAGGCCATCCTGTGGGGGGGTGGGTGCCCCAGCAGCCCCAGAGCCCCCAGCAGCTGCAGGGAGCACAAAGCTGATGGAGGGGAGGATTCCCAGGACCCATGAAGGGCTTCGCTCCACTGTCCTCCATCCTGGCTGCAGGGAGCACTGGGGTCAGACAAATCATGGTGGGAGAAGGTTGAGTTGCCCCTCATGGGGCACAGCTTCCTTTATTTGAGTGATTTGGCACGCACACATTTGGCCACAGCATCCGTGAGGAAGCATAGGCAGCTCCTGCTCTGTTTCATACCCTGCGGTCCCGAGGGGAGCAGCAGTAGGGATGTTCCCACTTGCTTTAGCGCAAATAAAGCTGGTTTCCAGCAATATTGAGGGCTTGGTGTACTGATGTAGCTAACCAAGGCAATGCTCAGAACACAATGGGCCACATACACGCTTTTCAGGCCCCTTTTCAAGGGCATAGGTTGAGGTTGCAGATAGTGACCAGTCCTTTGAGTGTGACTAGAACAAAGACATTTTGAGGAATAAGCTGTAGAGCAGTCAGGAAGCAATGGCACAAATATGCTGGAGCTGGCTGGTAAATGTCTTGTTATCATAATACACAGCCAACTTTAATTTTGCTTACTATTCAAAATGTGTGGTTCTCTTGGGCTGTTGGTTACATAGCAGGAAAAATTGAAAGCATTGTTTAAAAAAAATGATGTGCCAGAAAAATATTATCTTGAAATACTGTTGGTGGAGAAGACTAACTTACACTGTTATTACATTGTTATTTATATTAACTTTCCACTGACCTGCCAGAGAGACCCATTCTCCTAGATTCCCAGTGGGTGATGGTGCTTCTTGCAGGTGGTGGGCAGCAAGAACCTTGTAGAGCTGTTTTGATCTCCTATGCCTTGCCACAAGACTATCCAAGGAAGATTTACTTTTACTTACTGCAATTGCTGCATGTTAACAGAAGTCTTTAGAATCACAGGAGAAGAGACCAGTGTCCCTCGGCCTTCAGCTGGGGGAGCTGGTCGAGTGCCATTGCCATTAGTAAAGCAATGATATTTCTGGCCAATGCCTGGAATATTGTTTTTTTTTCACAGAAAGAAAAACCTTTGTCCCTTCATCTCACAATAGGCTGACTCAGCTTGGAGAAGACTTACTGAAGTAGATATGTTGTTGTATGTACTGCTCTTAAATGACACTGCATATGACTCTGTTATGCAGCCGTCAGCTAGTCTGATGAATGAGGCTGCTTGAGCCACAAATACTTTCCTGGTCAAATATAATTGTTTACTGCACAAGGGGAAACACTTGCAATTCATAGGGTTACACTGACATTTTGTTATAAACCAATACAATGAGAGGCTGTGATCATTTCTGTGGTAAGAGTAGGCAGATTGTGACTGAATTACAACTGCGCTGAACTTCAGCTGAGGTGAAGCCGCTCTGCTGAAGAACTACAGAAATGCTCCATAAAAAGTGTCAGCGAAGGGTTGTATAATGGCTAGAGAGGCAACCTGGGACACAAAACTTAAGTTGCATTTATTGGATAATATGGACCTCATCTCAGAGGTCTCTTCACCACAGAAGCTAGGGCCCAACACTTTGAATGGGCAAAATATAGTAATAGGTAAATTACTCTCTCAGGAAATAATTTTAAAACTTGAACGTATTCGTGAGTTCAAAGCAGGTCACTATAGGCTTTTGTCAAATTATTTCTTTGCCAAAGGAGAGAATGCAGGAAAAGGAAGAGCAGGAAAAAAGCCTGTGGGTCACCCTTTCTGCCTCCTTACCTTTCGTATGAGTTGTGGTGTGCTCTTCCTCTCTTCCAGAAAGCAATCTGGAAAACGCCACTTTTCAAGGGTCCAGATCAGGATGCTAGACTAACATCTTTTGTTTTTATGATCTCATTATTATGATTTTTCTTGTGATCTTCAAAAGCTCTATTTTCCAGTGAAAATTCACTTATGTTGTAAATTTAAGCCTGGTGACAGTAAGCTTGCTTGTCTCTGTTACCTACAGTAATTCAGAGATTCCTTAGGATGGAGAGACAATAGGCTGAATATTGTTATTGTGCTGTACCCCTGGGATGCTGAGGTGTCTAAAGTTCTTCTCTCAATACAGTTCCTTTGAAGGCAGATGCTTACAAAATGCAGGTTACTGCTATGTAAATAGCAAGATGGGATCAAGAACTTTATCTCTTAAAGAGTTCCCCAAAATAAGCTCTTTCATTTTGGACCATCAGAAAACATTCCCCTGACCCAGCACAACTTTTTATTTATTTATTTATTTATTTATTTATTTCCCCAGAAAAAGAATAAAACATTTACAAATTTGGTTCAGATGAAACTAATTCTCTCTTCATCCCCATTCTAGTTTAATTTTCCTATCTAGAAATTTGGCTGTTCATTCATTCTCACAGTTTGAGGAGTGGAATGAGCGCTGATTCTTTTTGGAGTGTGCAGCATCTAAACTGTCAACATTTCTTGTAAGATTTTAATTGGTTTTGACATGGCATATTTTTGCTAAGCTGTGCAGATTTCTTCCAATATTTATATATGGCAATGGTAAAAAAAGACAACTAGGAGAAACTGCTGGGAAAATGAAATATATCAAAGTCCATGGGAAAACTTTGCGGTTGGACCGAGACATAATTTAAAGAAAAACAAAAGTAAACCAAAAAAGACAAGTGGAGATGTTATAACATGCTCCTTTTGAAAATATTAAATAGACATCTTGTATACAAAAGCAAAGGGGAAAAAAATGGTTGACCAAAAAGCCCAGTGTTATGAAATTACTTTATATCTGGGTGATACTTCCAAAGATGTGACTTCGTATGTTTGTTTGAGCAATGGCCAGAGAAAGCCACCTTATTTGAGTTGCACGTGGGATCAGTTTTGTGGTGACTGCATTTCAGAGGATCTCCTTAATTACAAACAGCCCAATTTTGTACTGCTAAGCAGTTTCCCATGTAGACCATGATGGACAGCCTACCTGGGGTCACCTCAATGGACACGCAAGTCTGTGTCCCCCTTGCTATGCTGGCGGTTTGCAGCTTGCTGTGCCTCATGGTTTGCAGGTGGCATCAGATGCCAGTGAGACTGATGTGTCTGTCTGCTGTGCTTATTTGCAGGGCCAGTTTTGAGAGACGCCTTCCCGAATTACCATGCAAGAAGCGCTGGAACCTGGGGTCCCAGCTGCCTGCCCAGAGGAGTGCTTGGACAAGCGTGACTTGATCTCCCTCTTGTGGAAAATTACTGGAACTAAGTTCGTGCGTTACTAAAAGAGGCAAAGAGCCGCGCTGACTGACAAATGATGGCAGATGTCACCATGACACCTGCTGCTCTCGGTGGTCCCCAAGGAGCCGAGGAGATGGACTCACTGATAGTACTGCATTACAATTACACAGGAAAGCTTATTCTAAGAGAAAAGGCAACTGATAAGATAGACCTGCCAACTATTGCGTTTCTCATCTTGTGTAGCTTTATTGTCCTTGAAAACTTGATGGTGTTGATTGCCATTTGGAAAAACAATAAATTTCACAACCGCATGTACTTTTTTATTGGCAATCTAGCTCTCTGTGATCTTCTAGCTGGGATCGTTTACAAAGTAAACATACTAATGTCCGGGAAGAAAACTCTGAGCTTATCCTCCACAATCTGGTTCATTAGGGAAGGCAGCATGTTTGTTGCTCTAGGAGCTTCCACTTTCAGCTTATTAGCAATAGCTATTGAGCGGCATTTGACTATGATTAAAATGAGGCCTTACGATGCAAACAAGAAATACCGAGTGTTCCTACTCATTGGAACGTGCTGGCTGATCTCAGTGTCCTTGGGTGCCTTGCCCATCCTCGGCTGGAACTGTATAAACAACTTATCAGATTGCTCAACGATTTTGCCTCTTTACTCCAAGAAGTATGTTGCATTCTGCATAAGTATCTTCATAGCCATTTTGGTAGCTATTGTTATCCTTTATGCACGTATCTACATCCTTGTGAAGTCAAGTAGCCGCAACGTCACTAACCACAGCAACTCAGAGCGCTCCATGGCTCTCCTTAGGACTGTTGTGATTGTCGTTGGTGTCTTCATTGCTTGTTGGTCACCTCTCTTTATTCTGTTCCTTATTGACGTAGCCTGCAGAGTCAAGGAATGCTCTGTCTTGTACAAAGCCAACTGGTTTATTGCTTTGGCTGTCATCAATTCTGCAATGAATCCCATCATCTACACCTTGGCCAGTAAGGAAATGCGTCGGGCTTTCTTTCGCCTTGTTTGTGGGTGCCTGGTGAAATCCAAAGTTGCCAGATCCTTGCCTATTCAGCCCACGCCAGATCAAAGTCGAAGTAAATCCAGCAGCAGCAATACCCAGAAGCCAAAGGATGACTTCCCACAGATGAATGTTCCCTCATGTATCATTGAGAAAAATGAATCTTCATTTCAGAACGGAACCTTCTGTAAATAAAGGACTCCTCCAGACATGGACTTTTCCGTGTTTTTTAGCGTTAAACTACAGTGGAGTTCCAATGTTCATGCACTTAAATCATAGGGGAAAACACTAACCACTTATTTAACTTTGAGGACTTATTTATCAGCAGACCTTTGCTTTGGGTATTCATTCAGCAACACATCTGACTGAGAAAAACTTTGTGCTACTCACCCAACACCTGGGGCAGCGTGCAGGCATGTCCAGCAACATTGTACACCCTGATGATATTGCATATATATGACTATATATGGGCTGCCTGACCTTGCAAGACATCTCTAAAATCTATCAGAATCATCATTATTCACTAAGCATTGCTGATGATCAGAAAATGAGCCAAACTATTCCTGACTGGGAAAAAAAGGCTTATTATATATGTGGGATATTATAGTTCTCAATATGTATCGTGCTGTTCTGTTAATGGCCTTACATGTATGGGGGATAAATAGCTGTGTACTTCTACACAGCTTAGAAGTACACATTCTTTATTAAAAAGTCATTGTATGGCAAGAGTTTACAATATGCTAAACATTGTACTGCAGTATACAGTGTAAGATGACCAATTATATAAGTAGGTAGATATGTTTCAAAGAGAGTGTTTGAAAATGTATGAAGAAGTAGCTTTATACTGACAGAGGAACTTTAACATGCCATATCAATGCAGTATTTTTTTTCTTTGCTGTTACTCAAAAGTTTCATGTTCAAAAAAGACAACATGACAGTTGTCACAGTGACATTTCACAACTTATAAACAAATAGTAGAAAATAACAGTAGCAAATAAAAACTGAGAAAGGATATATACAGTTTGTTACTTAAAATAGCAAAATGTGACCCAACAATAGACATATATTAAGTGTATGTACTATTTCAATGCATATATTTTTACTTACTATTTTCAATGTATTTAAAAATGTATGTCAATCTCATGTAAACCTGTGTATATTGTAAATGCACTACCTAAGCTGAGATTCTTCAGTCCTGAAAGGAAGAAGCATCATTTCAGAAAGCAACAAACCACAACAATGTGCTCTGGAGAGTTCCTAGGTTTTTCTCCAGGCAATGCTGTGACATGGGATCATATTATGGAATCAGTCAAGGAGGAATAGCCACCAACAGAAAAAAAAAATCCAGTCTGCCCGTGGGACCCTACACTTTTCTCTGTGTGCTTTTGCAGACACGAGAAGGAAGAAACAAGACAGGATCACAGCGAGATAAACATCTCCTTATATACCATAACCCTGCTTTGGATCTGGAATGAGAACCTATTCAGTTTGGAAGACCTTCTACCATCCTGGAGCCCCAAACTTAACACTTTTCAGTGGCTATTCTAGAGAAACCTCTATGCAAGCTCCAGGGTTCATCACTGCCTTATTGGGCTCCGTTAAGGATGGGGGTCCATTTCGGAGGAGGCTCTAGTGACTTATAAGGGTCAAGACATCATAAACATCTGCGATCAGTCGCCAGCAACATAGTCTGTGGTAATTACATCAACAGGACTGAAGGCTTCAGTGGAGGCTGAAGGGAAATGCTCAAATGAATTCCCATTGTCTTGTGATAGGCATGTTACCCTCCAACTTTTTGGGGCTCTTGTGAAGATTCCTGTGTAATGTCTCAAGCCACACCTTGCCTTATGCACAATCGAAAGTTGAGGGTTTTTTAAGTTCACACTTGTAAAAGTTGATCCTTAGCTTTATTCCTATCTCAATCATTTAAAGCAACAACATTAAAAGACTCTTTCAAAGTATGTACCGTGTATAAATCATGTAATGTATGTAGCAAAGCCTTTAAAATGTAGAGGTTTGCATTGTCATTATCCTTTATGTGGTAACAATCTACTTGTAAGTTTTATGCTATTAGAAAAATATAAGAACAAAAACAAAGCTGCATTTGAAAGAAACAACTACAAGATAGTAATAAATATGAAATAATTTCAACCAAAAATGTTGAAAAGTGGTGCACATAGAGAAAAAGAGCAAGCTAAGCTAAGCACAATATACAAGTGAGGACTGCAAGAATATAGGCTCAGTCATCAGCTCCATGGTTTGTTTAGAAATAGTGATTGCATTGCATTGTCATGGTTTAGGTTTTTAGATCTTAGACTGTTTTTTGGCCATGTTTCAGCTCTTCCCTGCAATGATTTATCTGAAAACTGCCTGCTTAAATGCCTATGTGTTTCTAAATGTCAGCTCAAGAGGTGATGGTGCACAGCAGCATTTCTTGCTCTAGTGAATGAGAAGAGCCTTAGCAATGTAGCTATTTGTAAAAATAGTGTATCAAACTCAGTACCAACTTTCAGGTTAAGGATGTTTTACATAACTCCCCATATTCAAGATGACAAATTAAAATGAAAGAGTGTAATAGACAGTCTCCAAGGGCATGGCCATAAAAGTAGGTTGTGACAGTAGGCTCCTAGCCCTGGCTGTTACTAGCCTTGATCTAAGGGTGCAAGCAATGCAAGCAGCTCTGCTCTTTTATGCCACATGACCCTTGATTAACACAAAAACCTTTTCTCTGCCTTGACTTCTACCATGTACCACATAAAATACCAGGTATTTTGTACCTGTATTTTTTGGGCAGTTCACTACGATGTTTACTTGACAGCTGGCTCCTTATGCTCATGGGTTAACATACAAAGCTGCTATAATACACAAAGTATTTCTGAGTGAAGAGAAAAAAATCTATTACGGATGCGCACTTTTCAGTGGATATATCCTACTAAGACATACTAGGTGAAAGCTGGATTTAGAAAGAGCAAAATTTTCAGAGTAAAATTTCAGAGAATGACACATCAAGGGCTTAACAGCAGTGGCCCCATAAAGAACCGAAGGATGTTCTAATATTGAACCTGGAGAAGGCTGGAGAAGCACCTTCTTTCCGGAGCTTGTGAAGGAACTTTTTTCCCCTTCAAAAATATTATAAAATTCTTAAAATACAATTGAGAATCCAAATTGTTAATCAGCTGCACTGATCTGATCCTAGAGGAAGTCTCAATTGGTTTTCCCTTTAAGTAGCTAACTTATTTGCTTTATGAGGAACAAAAGCTACAAAGCAGGCAAACATCTCATTCATATTATTTCATGAATCAGAATGTCTGCTTTTGTTCTGGATTACAAAAGAAATGCAAAAGCAACCACCTAAGGAAGAACAAAAGCTTTCACAAGAGGCTTTATTGCAAACAGTCTTACAGAGTATTCTCAACTCACAGGTAACATAAACACTTAGAAAACTTTCATTTAAATCTCAAACCTTTGAACCAAAGTGGTCATGTAGCAGCAACCTTTCATAGAAATGCAACAAGGTTTTGGCTATCAATAGAAAGTAGACGTTTAAATTACAGGTATCTCCAAGTGCCTCAACGCACTGTCCACAAGAATGTTATGCCAACCGCGCACAGCACATGGATGCTGAGTCGGCCACAGTTGAAGTCAGAGGTGGGTTTTGGCTCTGATTTCCTGGGAGCAGGCTTGTACTCTAGACTTACCTGCTCCACATGCAGCAATGCGCTCGGCTGTTCCCTAAGAAAGGCACATTTTTACAATAAGCAACTGCAATGGAGGGTGCAGCAGTGTCTACTAATTTTGTCATTCCAAAATGCTCCTGTAAGGTAGTTGAAAAAAAAACAAAAACAACAACAAAACACTAAGAGCTAAAAAAACCAGGATCCTAAGAGCAGGTGGTCAATCCTCGCCAAGTGTTGCTAGCATCAACATTTGCCTCAAAATATGGCTTTGCTGGTGCCATATAATTCTGAATTTCCACCAATATAATTAACAGCACTAGTCACCTGTCAGTTCCACCAGGAGCTGCAGACCCAGCTCCCACCGGGAGCTCTGCTCATGGGGGGTCAGCACGGCAGCAGCACTCAGGGGATTTCTGCTCTGTCGTAGCCCTGCAGGAGACCAGAGGCTTCCATGGGGAGACTGGTAGGGAGACAGTTTGGAGGCATCAACCCGGCTGAGCTTCCCAGCAGGGAAAAGGGGCTCCCAGCTCCTTGGCACAGCAGTCCTTGCCGGGAACGTCCGTGCCACCAGCCACTGAGGAGAGGCTACACAGGCAGCCACCCTCTCCATGCAGCAAGACACCTAGGAGAGCCACCTTTCCAGGTCAGGCTGGTGCCTGGGAGCAATTACTCACATCTGAAAAACAGCATTTTGGCAAAGCGGAACTCTTGGAAAGGAAAATCACCTCTGTCAATGTCATTGGGGGCTCCTTTAGTACAAAATCAGTGTAACTGAGGTATAGCACGTCATATTTTATTTGGTCCCTTGTCATTTTTGGTTCCTTTTTCAACTAAGATGAGAAATTCATTGACTTACTTAATGGCCAAGGAAGTCTTGTTCTGCTTCAAAGCAGCCATTGCTTCAATCATATATATACAAAAAAAAAAAAAAAAAAAAAAAAAATTAAAAAAAAAAAAAAAAAAAAAAAAAAAAAAAAAAAAAAAAAAAAAAAAGTAGGCTGTTACGGAACCTGGATGCAGGAGAACAGAAGCAGGCCCACTTTCTGTACATTTAGATTCAGTAGTAGTATCAGTTATTTTATTACTTCTGTTACTCAAATACAGATGGAAAAGAATCAAAAAACAGTTCCATGACATGTATACTTCAAATTGTGTTGCTCAAGGGCTTCTCTGGAGACAAAATTTGCCTCTACAATCAAAATACAACAATCAGCAAACTGGCAAAAACTTGAGATTTAGTAAAGTATCTCACAACATGTTTCAAGTCCCGAGTCACAAAAGCTGCTGGGAATATAAATGATCACAATACTTCTACACACACTTTTTCCTGCAATTCGCTGTTTAAAATGTTCTTCAAGTAATAAATGCTAATAAATACCAAATGTACAGCTGAAATTCCTTTACAGCAAAATAGTCACTTGTTTGTTTTTGCTGTCTACATGGTGCAAAGAAAACGCATTCACTTCAAAAGAAGAAACTTGACTTTTTTTTTTTAGGTTCAACTCTGCAATACTTTACTTAGAAGCAGCCATCACACCAATTCAGCCACAAAGGACACAAATATACATCTTCAACCAATTACAGTCTTCACATCCTCATATGAATTAATCCTCATGTTATCTTATATGATTTTTTTTTCTTTTTCTGAATGAATATTTATGAGTGGTTTTCGTGGGCTCTGCCTCTCTGGAGAAAAAGGAAAAAACTGTCAAACTTCCATGATAACCATATAAACTGTAAATCTTACTCTCAAAACCTGAGATTACCGCTACTGTTTGAGTCATCTTTCTCCCAGAAAGTAGGGTAGCAGAATGAATCACTTTTAACTTTAACTTTCTCTTTAACTTTAACTTTAACTTTTAACTTTAACTTTCTCTTTAACTTTAACTTTCTCTATTGTCATGAGCAGCTTGTATATTCAATGATACATATTTTTTAAAAAATACTACTTAAAAAACAACAAAAATCTGAAAGCTAAACATGGAAGCATGTCAGTTACTTCAGCACAGATTTTGTTTATGCAAATATGCCTTGCTAAACATACATCCTTGGTGCTACCACTTACTTAATGTAGACATTGGCTGCTGAGAACAAAGACTCGAAAGCTGGATTGGTAACCTGATGGGGAAACATTCACAAATTGCAAATTTCTCCTCTGGAGCTGCAAATTTCCTGGAGGCTACAAAACTGAGCTAGCTTTCAAATGGAGCATTTATTACTTACAGATATATAAATATGCATAGATTCTGTTATGAATACATTGTAGCTGGCATCTGGATCTTAATGTGCCAGCAACAATTGCACTGTGATATAAATTTTATGAATTCTCCTCTTGCTACGGCACAACATGATGCTTGGGGACCATAACGAGTGTTTTATTCTGCAGAGAAGAAAAATAAAAGATCCCCAAATACAGAAAATTTAGGGTTGGCAGATGATACTTACCAGATTGTTAGTAAACATCTACATTTTCTTCATGTACCTGTTCTGTACTCAAATCCTTATCCCAGGCCTACATTCTTCACTTAAGCTTTTATTGAACAAGCATGAGGTGCAGAGAGGTTTCTGGCAGAGCAAGTGGTAACTCACACTGGGAATCCTGTCAGGCTGGAAGTGGAGGACAACCGTTGTATAACTCTGTGTTCTAACTCATGTGCAAATGCCCAGGCACTAAGCCACGGAAACTGGACCTCATTCTCCACCTAGGCATGGCCAATTTGAATGTTCTCTTTTTGCACTAGTGAAAGGAGTCTAGGGGTCCTCAAGCTGCCCAAACTCTCAATGAAGTCCAAAGCAAATCCAGCTTTCAGTTCACATTTTCTACCTTTGAGGTTTCCATTGCTTGTGAAATGACTGAAATGACTGAAAATTTGAAAGAGTGACTGCTGGAGATTGTCAGAGCTGTCACTGCCAACCTCACTGGAAAATTCATTTTAACCCAATAATTGCTATATGTCTGCAATGAATCAGAAGCATCCATTCCATTTTTAAAAGCCTATTAAAGCCTATATCCTATTTAAAGGATCCAATGCATTTTCAGTGCCTGTGATTCACATAGTTGCAACACAACTGGAAACAATGATAATCAGATTTTATCTCTCTTCACTTCAAACTTGAATTACACAGTTTTGCAAGACATTGGATGTTTCTTAATCAGTTCTGTCTTCTCAGTTGTTTGTTGTAGTATCAATGCACTTAGCAGTTTTAAAAATAGGATGATTGTTTGGTACCAAAACTCCAGAAGATGAGATTTCATTGAAACAGTAAATGTACAAGACTCAGTAAAACTCACTAAAATTAGTCACTATTAGGGTATCCTATGTTACCATTGCACCCACCTACCAGCTGGGGAAGACTAGAAATGCTGAGAGAGCAGCTTAAAATACATAAATTTTCCTGGGAGGCAGAGTTTCTAAAGTCTACTTTGGAAAATGTGATGTTTCTGCCAAGTTTTACATCACAGAGAATGCTATTTTGTGCTTCCTTGCCACCTGCTTAAGTGCCTGCCCTGAGAGAGCATTTAGAAATCTAAAGCAGACAGGCAGAAAGTGGGATTTTAATGGCATCTGAGCTAGTTAGTAACACAGCACTTACTGAAGTGATACGTAACAATATTTTAAGTACCAGAAAGGCCTTCTTTTGTAGTTAGCAGTACCACCCTGATAACTTAACAGGCCATGGCTGTACAGGTGGGGACATGGCAAGAAAAGTGTTTTATATGCAGAAAAAGGTAGGAACCAAAATGTTCCAAACTGAAGTGTAATGATACATAGATGTTTTTTAAATGAAGTGCATCAGGCATGTTAAAATTTCCAGGTGGTCAATCTGTACCATTGGATTCATGAACCAATGAACCATTGGATGCATAATAACATACTATTATTTGGTTGTTTTGGTGAGAATCTGTGTTTTTGTGAAGCTAAATAGGCAAGTTTCATTATAAACATAACTGAAAGCTACTTAGGCATAGAGCTCACATACTTACATCCACATATATATGATTTTTAGAATTAGGTTTACTTAGTGATATAACAAATATCAGGGAAAAGTGATAAAAAAGAGCACTTTTTTGGTTTGAAGTTTGAAAACTGAATTTACATGCTGCACTATATTTCACTAGCTTCCAGTATGCATGAGAATGGAAAGATGAAACCTCAAAAACAATTCCCGAAGCAGTAAATTTCTGTAATATTTAGAAGCATAAATGTGGACTCAAAGTCCACATTTTTCCTATTTAACAAACTACCACTTTTTAATTAGATATTTTCCCTTCAAAATATTTTATTTCAGCATGCAGACCCAAAACAAAATTTATTATTTAGGTTCTTCCACAGAAATGTGAACTATTATTTTTTTCCCCCACACAAAATCTTACCATTTCTGAAATTCTACTTTCTAACAGAAAACAAACATGCTCAATTTTTCAGTCTTTTACTTCAGTCTTTTCCTACTGATGGCAACAAAAGCACCTGGCCCAACTTCTCAGTTTCCCAGATCTAAGGTTAGAAATTGTAGCTTTAATTTAAAAAAAAAAAAAAAGAGAGAAAAGGGAAAATTTGTCAATATGAACAAGATAGATGAAAATATGGATCTCTGAACAACAGCAGGAAGATGCAAAAGTCCCTAGTTAATATAATGAAACAGATAAACCAGAATCCTCTTGGTTCTATTAAATATTGGAATTCTGGCCTTCATGGGTGAAAAACAAATCAGGAGAAAAAAGATTCAGGACAGTGATCCAGGCCTAACAAGGTGCCTCTCTTAGTGGTGTCACTTTTCATAGTGTTAGCACACTTAGCAGAATAAAATATTTTACTTCCTACCATCAGGGCCACAACAGTTGGACAGCTACAACTTTCGGAGTGTAAGATCTCCTCACTTTTCCTTGCAATTTCCAAACTAATAAAAGCTTAAACAACTTTGAAAATACAAATTCATCCCACTGCTATACTAACTAGGGTCGCAATGCAGCATTTATTTTCTTTCCTTCACTCTCAGTGCCCACCCAAATCTTGAAATATCAAATCATCTGTAATAAAATGAATCAGAAACACCTGGTTCATTGAATGTCCTAGTTTGACTTCTGAATGTTCTGATCACAGAAGTAAATGTATTTTTATTGCATGAGTCACATGATTTGTCTTACTTACCTTAATCATTTTTTGTTTGTGAGATCAACCAAAACCAAATTTCCAAAGTTACAAATCTGCTCTACTTTAAAGCAGAAAGTACAAGAAAATTAGTTTAGAAATTCATCACAACAATCCTACCTGAATTCTTAAGAGAATTGGATCTTAAGTGAATTCTTAAGTGATTCTAAAATCGAAACCTAACTTTACATTGCCCTGGTGACTTCTTGAAGATAGGCAAGTGCTTAACAAAGACTCATCCTGCTAAGTCTCAGCCTTTCTGGATCAGATACAAAGATCTGATTTGAGCTATTTGTGCCAGAGAAGATCTAAGCACAAAAAATAAATTTGGATGATAGTTACTCTGGCACAGACTCTGCCTTTACAGAAAACTGTTCATCAAACTGTAAATTGAATTTGGCTCTTGTTGAAATACATAAATAAGAAGTAAGCTTCAGACAATACGGAAGTAAAATCATGCAGTGCTGTTCTTGAATAGCACAAATGGTGAGGAAAAAACTTCCCAGAACAAAAGCCAAGGATATTTCTGCTAAAAATATTTTTCCAACTTGACAGAGATGATCAGTACATTTGTAATATCTAGCATGTGCTCAAGGCCAGCTTCAAATGGTGAGAAGAAGCATACAGTAACTAAGTAGATCCAAGTGACATCATTTGCAAAACTGATCACTGTGTCATGATAGTTTCTACTGTTGGTAAGAAGAAAAGATTTTCCAACTATGTCTTTAACTAACCATGTTAAATCTAGCCTGTATTAAATCTATTAAACACAAGTCATTTGAACTGGTCTAATCAGAACATAACATCTCATTGTAGACTGGTAGTCAAGGACATCTAAACTTTCACCATAAGCAGAGAATTACTTGTAAATAATCTTAGCACTCAGATTAATAAAACTGCAGAATATTAAGTTATATAATTGTTAGAAAAAATCAAATGCACATACCTCATACACAGAGAGATCACACCAAGTCATTGTTAAAGCAAGTTACAAATGTTTTGAATAGCATCATATAAGAATTCAAACTTGACATTAGAAAGATAAAATACTTTTTAAATCAGTGACACTGAATAATGCTTTTAAAAACCATTTTATGCTATATTTCCACATTGGAATACTGCTGAATTCAAACTCCTTGGTATTTAACCAATGTACTCTGTTCTATGTTCTCCCTATTATTGTGCTTTTTAGATAAAGTTATAAATAAGACTCCCAATATTTAGTTTCTCAAGGAATTGAGACTGCTGAATGCTATTTTCATCTGAGCAATCACAATTGGCATGTTTCTTCTGTTAAAAACACTTGGCACAGAAGATTAGTTCCATACCTTCAAACAGACTGACTTGAAAAATATAAATATATACTGTATTTATATATAATGTGTATATATACACTATCAATATTCACATTAGAGAATCAGAATAATTTTATTGAAATTACGTTTTTAGAAAGCCTTCTGTTGTGACTTCATGTTCACATAAAGCAACAAGAATTTTCAAGTGTACCATGTTAAATGGGGATTCTTAAACCTAACGTAAACATACTGGTGAAATATATACGAATATGCTTTTTTTCTTTAATTTGCATGTTTTCAGATCTGCAATTTTCACCAGCGATAGCTTGCAAGTTGCAAAAGCTAAAGTCAGCTAGAGTCAGTGTTTCCTCTCAGCAGGCTGCTGCAGGCAGAGTTCACTCCCCGAAGAAACTATTGGCAAATTATTCTCAAGGTGGTGGTTGATGAGATGACTTATGCTGTCAAAAACACGATCTTTTGTACGAACCTTTAAAGAAAGGATGCAAGAGAAAACATTAAAGAAAGAGCAAAATACTTTTTTCCTTTACCTCTGCATTAAAATTCTCTAAGAATAAAATAAAACAGTTAATCATAACTTTGTTTTTTATCCCCAGTTTTAAGAGACTGATATCATCAAAATCTGCAGGAGTTTGGCTGCTTTTTCAGCAAACTCTTCTGTGCTTTGCTCGCTCTATTCTCTCCAAATGGACAGTTTGCTTGCTATCTATGAGCCAGGCTGCCACAAGAGGCCTACCTGAAAACTGACCTGCTGCTTTGAAGTATATTCACTCTTTTTTTTTTTTTTTTTTTTTTTTTTTTTTTGTTATGAGAAAGAGCTGTCCCTTCAAAGAGACCATGATTCTTCTTGCCATGTCTCATGTCTCCTTATAAAGACCTTCTTCAGAGGCTGAAAGACTTGCTTCACTTCTGCCTGAAAATTCGCTTCTCCCAGAAGTGCTGCAGTTGTCACTTCTGTTTGGCTTGCTTCTGTTTGCCCTGTGCTGCACAGTACCCACTTGAGCTTCTGAAATTCAAGCCCTTCAGAGAAGGGAACAGCATGTTTCCATCACATTTACTAGCACTCTGCACTGGCATCCTGCTAAGCAAATTATTACATCCATGAAAAGACAACACTGATATTGCAAGGTCGAGCAGTCAAAGGTTAGAGCGGGCCAAAAACTAATTCATCATAGAAAACAAACTTGAATGGTATAACCACATCTTCACAAAAAATTGCTTCCTCTGTTCAGAGTGAGTGAAAGAACACAGAGCTTCCCCAGAAGGAATAGTCTCTCTCACACCAATGTCATGCCCCACTAAAGGTTCATGCTGAGAAGATTCTAGAAGGTCCCAGAAAAAAAAAGCATATGAACACTTATATAAAATGGGGGATATCATCTGTTCTCCTTCAACTTTTATCAAGAGGTAAGAACTTTACACTGCAGCAGACACATCTCCTGAAATATGTCCCCACAAATAAATGCTTGCAAAACTATTAGCAACTTAGGACAGGCTGGCATAGGAAAAATAAAAAACAACCAACCTTGACGCCAAATGATACTATTAGCTTGGTAAACATTAGCAATATCATTGAAGAAAACCATTAGGTTCACATGGTTTCTGAAACATACCTCTGAAACATCATTGCATATATTTATTTTATTTTACCATATTTTTATTTTACCAGGATGATTAAGGGAATGGAACATCTCTCGTATGAAGAGAGGCTGAGCGAGCTGGGCCTGTTTTCTCTGGAGAAGAGGCGGCTCAGAGGGGATATGATTAATATGTACAAGTTCAGGAAGGGAGAATGCAGGGAGGAAGGGGACAGGCTGTTCTCACTGGTGGCCAGCGAYARGACGAGGGGTAATGGCCACAAGCTGRARCAYARGAAGTTCCGTCTCCAGGTGAGGAGGAACTTCTTTACTGTTAGGGTGACAGAGCAGTGGAACAGGCTGCCCAGGGAGGTTGTGGAGTCTCCTTCTCTGGAGGTCTTCAAAACCCGCCTGGATGCCGCCCTGTGCCACGTGCTCTAGGTGTGCCTGCTTGAGCAGGAAGGTTGGACTAGATGATCTGTAGAGGTCCCTTCCAACCTTAAATATTCTGAAATATTCTGAAATATTCTGAAATATTTGAACCCGTATTTTTCAAATTAAAGGATATCTCTAAAACATCGTCTGAATTCACATGAATACTTTTTAAGTCAGCTCAGTTCACTGAGTGTGTCCTCACTGCTCTGCCATTTCTGAAGTTCAAGATCTAATTCTAAATCCAGTAGAAAGCTTGAACTCTTCAGTTTGAAGCATCACTTACCTTGAAGGAGAGGCTCTTTTTGTGAGATGGATGAGGGTAGATGCAACAGGAGAGTTAACTCTGCTCTGAAAGGAAGGTTTAAGTGTTGTAACATACCACTGGCTATTTTTTGTGTGTGTTAATGAATGGCCATCACTCTTTGTATGCCTGAGTTTCCTGCGTACTTATGCCAAGGCCACATGGAAGAAATGCAAGCCACTGGCACACTGCTCAGGCCTGATGAACCTTGCATTTTATTAACTATGCTCTGCTCTGCTAAGTCACAAATAAAGCTGTCAATAGTGCATGGATCTCCATCTAGAGGCACAGCTGACCTATACTGACCTATACGGTGCCATAGGAATCTTAGTCTTTTCAAGTTGTGCCTCTTTACATGGATTCCTGTAAAAGCAGGGTCTTTGGAGCTCCCACAAATTGGCGGCACCTGTTGTGCAAGATCGTGCAAGGTGCTGCATAGCCCACTTCCTCCAGAGCTTCACCTCAGGGACATAAAGAACCTGCTAGAAGGACAGCTACTTGGGTCTGGAAAGCACTTTAGTTCTTTATCTAGTTTGAGTTTCAGGGCCTGCACTGAAGAGAGACAAAAAGTGCCGCCCTTAGAAGCAATGGAAAAAAGACAAGGGTCTCTATCCTTTACCTGCATCACAAAAATGGCCCAGGATTCACAAAGATTTGGTACTTCACATCTGTAAGGACAGCATAAGGCATATATATCTTCTGAGTTTTCAGAGTAGTGGCCATTGGGTGGTGGGCTGCAACAGCTACTTCAAGTATTTATTTTGAAGGGAGATTTAAGAGGTCCTACTGAAAAAGTTGGGAAAAGGCTGGCAAAATTTTAGCAAATGAGGTGCTTCTCCAAGAGGCTTGCTTGGCACTCACATTCCCAGGCTGTTGTCTCAGTAAAGCCTAGCACTATGCAGTTATTATGGAAAGTATATGAAGTGCAAAAAAAACCAGCATTTGACTGCCCTCTTGTGGCAAACGTAATTCAGGTAAGTGTCATGGTCTTTTCTTCATTGCAGCATTTCTACTCTGCAGCATTGACATAATTCTGCAGGTTTTCTGCAAGCTTCTCAGCTGAAATGGATGCCAGTAGCAGCTCCCTTCCTGGAGCATCTCAGTTGCTCTGAGGCTTGTACTTTACAAAGAAGAGAAGTTGACAGCTGTCTGCAACCAGGTGCCAAGAACAAAATTTGTGGCTATGCTTTAGGCTGCCTCAGAGGAGGCTAAGCCTCTGCAGCACCAGGGCAGCAGAGCTGCAGAAGCTGGAGTTTCTCTGCCCACAAAATTCTGCAGACAATAGCTCCCTTTCTTGCCTAAGGGAGACCTTGCACTCCAAAGCAACAGAGAGTTCTTGTCCAGGCTAAGAGCAGGGAAAACTAAATGGCCTAGAGCACACAGTCTGTATTCTGACTGACAGAGAGTATGTCGAAATTTCAGACACAGAGGCTGCCCTATCAGTGATCCCATCAAGAGCGTCTCAGCCAGAAGGTTAAAAAAGTGACTTAGCTACACTTTTGGAAGGCCAGGGCTTTATTGTCTTGACAAAGTTTGGCCTTCATAGCAACACAGCTCCTAACGTTCCCTGCAACCGGCGGAAATCGGGCAGCAGATATGCTAAACATTGGGGACAGAATTTGAGATGTGATGTCACCTTAGATGAGGCTGTGATAATGGCCAGGTGTGAATAAGCTATAAGCAAGATTAAACATATTTAGAGAAAATAAGTCAAGTCAGAAGCCTTCCACAGTATTATTCCAGTATTATTATAGAGAGTATTATTTTAGAGAGGGTCCAGTGTAGAGCAACAAAAATGATTAGGGGACTGGAGCATCTATCTTAGGAGGAAAGACTAAGCGAGGTGGGCCTGTTTAGTCTAGAGAAGATTGAGAGGAGATCTGATCAATATGTATGAGTACCTGAGGAGAAATTATAAGAAGATGGGGCCAAACTCTTCGCAGTGGTGGCCAGTGGTAGGACAAGGGGCAATGGGTACAAATTAAAACAGAAGTTGTTCCATCTCCATGTGAGTAAGAACTTCTTTCCTGTGATGGTGACAGAGCCCTGGCACAGGCTGTCCAGGGAGGCTGTGGAGTCTCCTTCTCTGGAGATCTTCCTAACTCGCCTGGCAAACCCTGTGCCTCTGGGTGTCCCTGCTCGAGCAAAGGTTGGATTAGATGATCTCTAGAGCTCCCTTCCAGCCTCAATCATTCTGTGATTCTGTGATTTGGGAGTCAGCACTTACAGTTCCTTCTGGATCCACCAACAGAAGATGCTTGGCTTGTCCATTATGCATGCCAGTCAACACATAGGAGCCGGGATTTGTAGTACTTTTCCTAACGAGGAAGTCTCCACATTTCTTGAGCAGTTGTTCTGCTTCTTTCCTACTCATTTCTCCTTGATACCAAGGTTCGGTAGCCAGCTCCTCCATCTTAGTCCGGTCTGCTGCTCTGGATAAAAGAGGACTGGTGCATTCAATGGAGGTGGCCTTACTCAGCACTGGCTCAGACGTTTGGCTCTTGAGAGCATCTTCAAATGGTTCTGGTTATAGACACAAAAACAAGTGCAAGATCATTCAGAGATAAATATATTACATTGCAAGAAAGTGATATTCCAGGTGTTTTTAACTGGATTTATTTTGTGTAATAGCCACTTCCTTTTACCTGTATGAAAAACTAAAGGAAGATGTGCTGTTAGGCCCTCCAATTTATAGAATATATTAAGAGCAAAGAATGCAAAATGTTAAAAGTACACACTATCCACAGAAAAGTGCTGCTAAAAATCAAAGCCAACCTTGATACAACCTTCTGAAAAGTACTCATGTAAGGTACTGATGAAAAGTACTGATTCTCTTTTAGTAATGGCAAAAATAACATATTGTCAACACTTGTATTTATAGGCGCTGGTACAGGGCAGAATTCTCGTTTTGTCTTGCCACTTACGTCAGACAATTTAATTTCAAATAAATTGCATAATATGGGTAGCCAAAGTTGTTATGCTCATATCTGGCCACTTGTCAAAAAACATATTCATTTACCAATTATGCATTAGTGAGTCTCTACCCTAAGGCAATGTCTGGAAGGATCAGTAGTCTTTACTACTCATCTTACTCATCTTCCTGACGGACACAGGCTTTACTTTGATTTAGCTAACTGAAATCATCCTTGAGGAAGTATCTTTTAAACCTCAGCTGACCTCTGAACTCAATATTACTTTCTCCAGATTGGAATGGAAAAGTACATCATTAAATTTCCCCAAAATCTTGCAGAAATAGGTCAGTGTATGCTTAATCATGTGCTGCACTGACCTATCAAGAGCTATTTTCACTTTCAGACTTCCACAACCAGACTTTCATCTGATTAGCTAATATTAAAAAATATGTTGTTTTACACCCATTAGACTTGCCAGAGGACATCTACAGAGCAGCTTATTCCAAAAGCAATAAACTAGCTCTAAATACGCCACTAAGGTTCTAAGAGTATACACAGTGGTGGTGTGGGGCCACATAAGGGTTAATGTAGCTCAGAGAAATAGGGTAAACACTATGTTGTCCCAGCTTGTTGGCACTTCAGCTGACTGTTTAAATCCAGCTACACTTTGTCTCTACTACACTGCTGCCCAACACCTTTAACTTGACAAATTCCATTAACATTGGGCTAACTGATGCATTTTCTAGTGCCATTTTTCTCTTGCAAACTCATGATTAATAAAGATTAAAGAGAAAGAGAAAGAGAAAAAATTATTTTCCTTATTTTTAGGAAAAGAATGTGAAGGCAAACATATATATTTTAAGGATGATGAATGCCTGAAATCAAAGTTAACATCCCTCTCTCATTTCACAGACCAAACTTTTCTCACTGCAGGTCACTCTTCACAGGAAGGTGCCCTCCCTCCCACTAGAAAGCACTGCTAGGCACATTTCGGAAAAATATTTCCAGACGGCAGCATTAACATAAAGAAATAACAGAAATGTAGATATGTTATTTTACACATAATATACAGGTACCAACTGCTTTGTCTCACTTCCTTTTAGCTATGTGAACTGAATTAACATACATAAATAAATAATGTGTCAGCAAAAGATTGGAGGCACGAACAGTGGAACAACTGGGCAAGTTTCTGCTTTCCCAATCCTTTTTGCTAAATATGATCTGTTCATAGCTGAGAACAGTATAGCACCAAAATTAAGTTACGACTGATGCTTAAAACATTATTCTAAGGCTATAGCTATGATATTTATTTCCTAACAGCTAACTTCAAAGTTAAAACAGAAAGCTAAATGGGACTTTGGCATAGGATAAAAAGTTTTTATAAATTCCCTTCCAGTTTCTTTATTGCACGAAGTCTCTATCACATAGATTTATTTCCTTTTAGTATATTGGCACTCAGTCCTCCATTCCAGTTCATGTGAAGGTTCCTGATCTTATTTCCTTCTGACGTGTTGTCATTAGAAGGTTAATACAGGCTGCAACTCAGCTTATCACACAAATAATACAAACTAGCTTCAAATCTTTTGCCACCCTTATTTTGAAGTCAGAGATGAGAAACCACCACAAAATCCAAAATTCATCATGAATCCCCCAGGATTTCCCCCAGGAAATTCCTCTGCGTGAGATTCTGAATTCCTTGATGCCAAAATAAATCTGTAAAAATATTGGGTCTCTTTTATAAGAATGGAATGAACAGGGAGGGAACTCACTCATGTCAAAGAGGTCCTTTCCTGGGCTGCTCTCTTTGGCATTATCTGTTGTTCCACTGAAAGCACTTTCAGCATCTGCCTGAAGTGCCAGGAGAGCCTCCATATTTATATGCTGGGTGTTCACGTATGTTGGCATCTCGGCTGTCGGATTTACTTCTGATTTCCCTTCTGGCATGTTATAAATATCCAAAGAGTCTAGAAAATTCAAAAGATTTTTTTTTCTTTTCCTATATTTGATAGAACATTGTTTTTAGAATGACCACAACATATCACATCATTGCAGTTTTAAAATTCCCTGGAATGGAACATGAAAAGACAACAACTGCTGGGTCTAGCTGAAGAAAACTACTGATGAATGAAGAAAGAACTATGTGTCTCATACATTTTTTTTTTCCATAAAGGAAGTGAATTTTAAAAAATACAGATTGTGAATTTCAAAGCTTATGTTGTGTTGGAGTCGTGAGAGAAAGACATGGAATAAAATCCCCAGATTCATGCAGATCAGTGAAAGAGAACAAATTTTGGCACTAGAAAAGAAAGTGACCCAGAAACACAGCAACGCCATCAAGTAAGTGTGGAATGGGTGAAATTTAATGGAGATGATTTAACTGACATGATTTGCTTATAGTTCATACACAATAACAACCAGAAAAATATATGTGATTTGGTATTTACAAGTCAATTGTAGGACATGGTGCAAACACACAAGCACTTTTCTACATTTTGAGAAAGGCTAAAATTAATCTTAATCTACCATAACAAGTGAGATTTCCAGAATGGACCAAATAGTCTCTCATTAAGTACCATGAGCTTTTAAGATATGGCAAACGAGAAAAAGTTCAGAGAAAGCTGAAGGTTGGGGGCTACACAAATTATGAACCTTTCTGTAAAATTTAAGCTTTTATTAAAGTGTGCACTAAAAACAAAAAAAAGTGTCTAGAGTGAAACTAGCAAACAGTTTCCACTGAAACTAACACAAAGTTTCATGACAAAGTAAATGTATCATAAACAAAATATAGGTCATTACGTAAAGATGTTGAGGCATCAGGCTTTCCGGTCCTTTACCCACCCAAGACCACCTGCATTATTAGCACCTATAAGTAGCGAAACTCACCTTGTTTAACAGCCCCATGATGCCAGTCTTCACCAAACTTGTCTCCCAGGTGTCGACTCTGATAATAAGTTTGCTCTCTTTCCACTCCTGCTGCAGACTAGAATGGACACACACAAAGAAATCTTCAATTACCTTTAAAACACTGTGATATATTATGAGTGGTTTTGATGACTTCCTCGGTTGTATTCTGTGTACACCCACTCTTCATTTCTGATTCATCGTGGTGTCAGAATATGTATTTCATGAATGCATTTGTGTAGGAGTAAGGTAACGCTGGTTACCTTCATATAAATTTCTCTCCTTCCTGCTTTTACTAACCCCTGCAATCCCAAATGACACATCACTTCCTTCAGTATGGTTGTCTTCACATAGTGAGACTTGACAAACCATACCTGGGACAAGTGCTCCAAGATGTCCCAAGCACCCTCCAGAGGGACAGAGGACCTTCAAAGTCCTATAAGTAATGACAAGAATTAGTAGATATTAACCATCAACTCCTTCCACCTAGCAAATCTCTGTAGGAATGCAGGAGCCTTCGATTCTCCCAGCTCCTTCCTACCCCACCATGGCTGATTCTACTTACACAGAATAAAACATCACTTTTCTTCTCTTTCTTCTATTTTTTTTCCTAGCTCAATATCCTGTTTCCTAGAGTGGCCAAAATAAATGAAAGAGCAGGGCAAAGACATATGAAGGATCTCCCATATATTCTCCCAGACATCATTTGAAACTCACAGAGCAAACTGATATAAAGGTGGTAACCCTCAGTGGGCTTCTCTTCCCTGAATCTGTGTAACCTTTTAGTGAGATAAAGAACTCACCTCCTTTTGCTTATCCTGGACCTGCCTAATTTGTCACCCCTAGATCACTGATGCTCCCTCATTCAAGAGGCCACGCGTGAAGAGCTGCGAGCTATAAATGTTCCCAGTGCATCCATCCAAAGATACACATCGCTTTTCAATTCTGGATTAGCAGCAGGAGGGCAGAGGTGCAATTGCACTGACCTGAGCTGTATCTGCAGCGGTGGGAAGCCTTGCTTTGAGTCTGGCATCAATGAAGCCTCCAGGAGGGGGCATTTTGTTGGGGATGTTGTTGTAATAGGCATGCTCAGCTACCTCTCCCTCTTCCTCCATCCACGGCTCATCAAAACTCTGCATCCTGTAAGAAAGGGACTGCTTTATTTTGCACATTGCTTGCCAAGTGCTCACAAGCGCTTGTAGCATGTTAGGACTGTCTGTCAGGGGGTGACTATTGCATATTATTTTGAAAATTCAGCTACACTTAGAAATCAGGAAGGAATGATGGATCAGACAGCAGACCCTCTCTGTTTAGACAATCTTAAGCAAGGCTCTCTTTTGCAACAGATTAATTTCTTTATGCTGACTAAAGGATGTTTTCACTCAGCCGTAATAAGTGCCATTAAAAACTGAATTAACCAACTATTGTATTTAACCTTACTGCAGCCTTTGTAATATTGTTACTTGATTGACTGATTAAATTCTAAAACATTGTCTTTAATTATGGCTGCTCTAACACAGATGTAAATCTGGAAGAACTCCATGAAGCTGAGAGATCAGATTTGCAGTTTCACTCTATATTTAACAGTCATTTACACCAGCCCAAAGGGAGTACAGAATTTTTCCAGGTGAAAATAAGTAGCATTTTATATTTACCATGCATTCAGGTAAGAAGTGTTTACTTTCAGTTAAGAAATCACATAGGGTACCAGCTCATTGAATGTAGTGAGCATATACAAAGGCATTCCAAACCACAACTCACTAAAGAAAAGGTTATACCCCAGACTTTTATACATACATATATAAACAGGTAGCTTTCATATCTTCCAGAGAGGACTGGAGATGAAGTCTGTCTACAACATATTATATTCCTAAAAGTTTCACCCTGGTTAATATTAGGAATATTTAAACATCACCAGGCATCTTGAAAGCTCAGTAAATCCAGTTTACTGAATCTAAATTGACAGAATTTTTATGACAATAACAAGGTCTAAGTGATACACAAAGCATCCATTCCTGGATGTCTACTGTCTACTAACACTGTCTACTAACTACAATGGAAAATGCATGAAGTGCCAATAAGTTCACTGTAAAATCCATATTTAAACATTCTTTTAAAGTGCCTGTACTCTTTTCATATTCATATTCATTAGGCAAACTCTAATTTGCTTTGCCAATTCAGCAGAAAGCTCTTGCGGAAGTTTTTAATTCCTGGCCATCTCCAGCACTTTGTCCAGAGTGCATTTTGCTAATTAAATGGAAACCTAAAGCCATTTCTCTAGCAGTCTTCTGTACCCACCTGTCCTGGAAAGTGGGCATCTTAGAGGGACATCGTAAATATTGCTTAAACCGGAGCTCAAAGGCTTGCCCGATGGTGCTGATGACGTCCTGTGCCAGGCCATCGCAGCATTCCAGGATATGGCAAGCTAAACAGGAAAGATTGGCGCATGCAAATCATTACTTATGTTACGGCTGGGTACACGACCCTATGGCAAAAGACCGTCGAGTGTAGCTGTACTATTCACAGTGTGCATAGTTCAGTAAAGCTCAAATCAGCTACAACAAATTTCAGACAATAAGGCCTTTAAAGGTTAAATAGGATTGCTATGATTTATAGCTGCAGTAGGTGAGATCAGAAATCAGTTCCACAATTTTGACAGGCATATTAAGACAGGAAACCTCATAAAATTGCACTCATTATTCCCTGAATGCAATAGGTTATATGAAACCTTGGAGCTTTAAATTGAGCTTATAAAGATATTAGTCAATAATGTCAAAAAAATTCAACTACACAAGCTTTCTTTGCTTTCCTTAATTTTACTTCCACATTAGTTTTAAAAGCTAATCATCCCAAGTTAGCAAGGCCTTCACTTCCTCCAAATTTCCCAAAACTTCCCAAAATACAGGCTCAGGTAGGATACATAACTCAGACACTCATGAAAGTTTCACCTAAACGTGTAGGAATGTACATAGTTGTAAAGAGATGGAAGGTAAAATGCTAAATTAATGTCTCAGTGACATTAAGAAAAGCCCAAGTGAGTTCATATTCTATATTAATTGCTGGACAAAAATACGGCCTGCTGATAGAGCCTAGATCACCAAGGAGAATCTGGTTGTTCTCTAGGTCTTACGATAGTATCATGGGATCTTATTCAAACCTCTGTCTCCCCTGACCATTTTATTAGTTTGAATATAGGTACTTAATTTAATATACAGTTACCAGTTCACTTGAATCAAGAGCTTTGGATGCTAATGTCTTACACATAAGGGCTGCAGCTACGTAATTTTGTCAGTTAAAGCAATATAGCAAGTGAGGAGGTTTAGCAATGGTTCCCAGAGGCCGAGTGCTGGATGGACTTCCAAAAAGGCCAGAATTAAGGGCCAAGAAGTGTGCAGCTATGCAGGTAGAGAGTGACAAAGGCACCAAGCTGTCACTCCTTCATTAGCAGCATCAGAGGTAGCACGAGAAGGCACCAGGCACAGAGCTGCTTGCTGAACAGATCCAGGGATGGTCTCACCTTCAAGCATTTGCTGTGCCCAGCAGCAGGATGAGACAGCATCTGGTTTGGGAGAAATGTCCCTGACTGCAGGTTGAAAGTGGATTTAAAGGCTCACACTGCTGGCTAGCTATTTGCTGTTTGCCCTCCCTAAGCTGCCCTTGGCACAGGGCTGTACAATCCACCCCAAGATAAGGTGCAGACAAATCTTCATGAATGTGGATTCAAAGAAGTTAGGTCAGAACTATGATTTTCTTCTACCCTGTAACAGAAGTGGATATTTAAAGAACTTACATTGCTCACTGCTAAATCTGCCTGGAGCTGAAATGAAGCATGAGTCATTTTTTTTTTAAGTAGTTTCAGTAGGTGATATAATGAATAACTTGTTTCCTTGGATACGTGAATGGACTTTTGGCAGGTAAGAGATCTGCTTCTTGTAAAAGAGCAAGCAGGTCTGGCTCACTTGGAGATGCTTTCTCATGTAGATGTTACAGCAGAAGACAGACAGCCTTTAGCTTACCTTAGTGCAGAATAGAACCTTCCCACCTGTGGGAAGAAATCCATCTAATGGCATTGCAAGCTCTAGTACAGCATGAGTTGTGATATTAATAATAGCAGCAGTAATATCTTCACCAGATGTGGAAGTAAATTTGAACTAATGGAACTCACTTCTAGCACGTTGTGCAGGCAACACCAAGACTGACCAAGTGGCCAGTGATGGTGCAAAGATGGCAAGAATCCCTTGGTAAGCTAAATTCCTTAAAAAAAAAATGCATTTTAATACCAGACATATGCAAAGTCACAGGTCTGCACATCACTGATATACACCCTCATAGGAAAAATCTGTCATGTAAAGCTCTAACTCTGAAGGATTAAGGATGGAAGCATAAGAGAATTTCACATGAGAATAAAGGGCTATTCTGCAGCACAAATTGGTAATGAGAAAACTGGCTAATGAAGAGCACAAAAGTAAAAACAGGCAGGTGCAATCTCTACCACAGATTGCTGAGGCTAATACTAGATAACTGTAAACATAACTAGCATTGATCTGCATTTTGAAAACAATGCAGAAATTTTAAGATGGAGGAACAAAAATGATTAGAGATCGAGGACAGGCACTACAATTGGAGACCTAGAAAATTCACCAATAAAATCCACGGAAAGATAGTACGAAGTGCTTAAACTTCGACTTTTTGATCTAGGATAGAGCATAGTAATGAAAAAAGTGGCAAGAAGCTAAGGCTGACAAATTCAAAATAGCTATAAGGAATGCAGTCCGCAAGCAGTTTTTACTAAAAGCCCATTCATATAGGAAGAGCAGACAGAACACAGAGCTCCTCCAGACTCCAGACAGTGCCCGCGTCTGGTCTGTGATGCTGGCTCTCTAGGTTGCTACTGAGATTTCTTGACGTGACTAAATTAATCTTCTGTTTTGGAGAAGGGTACAGCTGAAGAAAAGGAGTTCAGAGCAGCTACACACAGTACAGTCTACAGTCTGGTGCCTGATCCTTTTTAACAAAACACGTAGGAGGCTGAAACACAGAAGCATGGCAAGGAATTGGACCATCTCCCCATCTTCATTACCTCATAAGTTTTCTAATCGTTTGACTTACTCACATTCAACATGTTAGTATGTTTAGTGCAGGTATTCTCTATCAGCTAATACTCCTGAGACTGGACATTTCTTCATATGGGTGCAACAGTTCGTTATCTAAGTAAGTAATTAAAGGTCACAGAATGTGGGAGCTATTGAGCTAGTCATACGTATGGTTTGGTGGCAGCCAGGGATTCATGGAGTTGGGATTTTGGAGTTAAACTGTCTAAATTCTGTAGAAATCCCACTGGAAGTGCTAAAGTCTTTTTTTGGAGCTAGTTTCTTTTTTTTTTCCATGAATTCATGAATAATAAACAGACTCTCAGGTACATTATACAATAATCTGCACCTTGAATCAAGACATACTGATGTTTTTTGCATTTCAAGCAGAGTGTTTTATGTATCTATTATTTCAGACTATACACTTTTATAATTTACCTTTATTTGGGGGGAATATGAACAGAATCTCAGTCTTTAAAAGCAATCAACAAGAAGTGCCTGATTCGTGACTGCTGTCATGAAAATAATAGAACTAGGCTTATCCTTGAATAAAATTTTACTGAGAGAGAGGACAGCCTCCAGCAACTTGGCTAGAAAGCTCACAATGTGATAAGGAATCTGATGCTGTCAGGAAGAATTAGGCATATGCTGAGAAGACCTAACAGATTCAGCCTCTTAATCAGAGGACTTAATCAGAGGACTGCTTAGTTTTTGCATCTTGATTAAGTTAGGTATGAGATAGCTGTTGCCTAGAAGGTCACATTGCCATGACTAACAAGCCCTTGATTTAAGACACGAAGAAAGTCTAAATGATATTTGGAGATGAACCATAGCCAAGAACTAAGGTGTGCATGGCTGTTCCTTATTGCCACTCTGTTTAATGATTCTACTGAAGGCAATCTTTATATTGAGCTGTGCTTATTTTTTTTCTGAAAAGGGAAAAAAAAAAAAAAAGGAGTAAATTATACTATGAATAATTCATGTTTTTCAAAGGAAAAAAAAGAATAGACATTCTAACTTACCTCGACGATTAACAGGGTCCTTAGCTACATATGCAACATAGTCAGTTGTATCCTGTCAAAAAATTAATATATCTATAGTGAATGAAAAAAGATGTTTGCACTGATCATTGGAAAATATCATAGTCCACAGCATACATGTTCTTCTGGGTAGGATCTCAATATCATATGTCTATCACTACGGTTATCTACTGCTTAGAAACCTGCAACTTCTCATTTACTGTAAAAGAAAAAAAAGGTTTATTAGTTTGGGTATGGATCCCAGAATGTGAATCTATTCCAGCATAATTTGTAAATCTCTTCCACTGCCTTGAAAATCCATTTAAGAAATTTAATAGGATATGGATCAGGCCTCATTCAGAGAGTAGAATTTTCAAGTTGTTTTAAAAAAAACATACCCAGAGATTTTGGTTCAGAATATAAAGTAATTGACTGATTGTCTGGCAGAGACAGCAGGATTAACAGCCATGCTCCTCTGAAATGAGGAAGAATTGGTTTTATTTATGTGTGACAAGCAGGTGTGTTTGCTTGGCACACAGGTGCCATGAGCCACGTCTCTGCTTGGCTGTGAGAGGTACCCTCTCCAAGACACTCTCCCTATCCCAAGGGCTGCTCCCATTCCCACAGGCTTTCCTGAAAACACAGGCATCACATGATGAGCTCATGGGCTCTCTGGTGATTTCTTGCTCCCATTCCTTTGCACAACCAAGGCAGACTTGTATCATCCTGCAGATGAAAAGGTAAGGCCAGTGCTCTTGGGAAATGTCAGGTTTACTGGGAGAAGTGGAAAATGCCAGGTAGACTTGATTCAACTAGAAAGTTGGTCAGATCCATGATTTCCTGACATGCCTGGATAGTTGTGTCTATCTAAAGTTAGCTTAGACAAGCAAAAGATGCACTGCATTTGGCAATGCAAATCTACGCAAATTATTTCCAATGAACTGGTCTAAGACCAATGAACGTAATACCTCATGATCTGATACCACAACATCTATCAATTTTGAATTTAAAGACAGATTTCCTTTAACTTACCCTTCTCTAACACAAGAGCACATGTGCTACTACCAAAACAAACCCCTGTGCTACATACACAGCTCCCTTCCTAAGGAGACTGTAATGGAAAGGATGAAGCACATTTATGTTTCTGATGACAAGTGTATAATGTACTATTAAAAGGCATGCAGACATAGCAATAATGAGATTAGTGAAGGAAGGAAAGGAAGGAAACGAAGGAAAGGAAGGAAGGGAGGAAGGGAAGGGAGGGAATGGAGGGAGGGAGTGAGGAAGGAAGGCAGGAAGGCAGGCAGGCAGGAAGGAAGGAAGGAAGGAAGGAAGGAAGGAAGGAAGGAAGGAAGGAAGGAAAGAAGGAAGGAAGGAAGGAAGGAAGGAAGGAAGGAAGGAAGGAAGGAAGGAAGGAAGGAAGGAAGGAAGTCTTGTTTAGCAGCCTGGAAACTGCCAATTGAAATGATCATGGATGAAAAATGTTTGGTGTATCATAAGGGAGGCTGGAGAGTAAATTAGAGCAAATCCAAACACTGTCTTGGAAGTAAACTAAAAACAATTCTGAAATGGCACAAAAAAGGTTTTGAAAGAGCCATTTTAAGCTTGCATGTAGTGACAAAGCCTGAAACTATCTGACTCATTGCAGCAGGGAATATTGTAGAAATATATGTGGTACTCAAGCTGTTCTCCAAGACTGGGAACGCTTCTCCGGTGGATATATTTTGAATGATGAAGGTAATTAATGCTTAGGGAGTGGGAGGAAAGTTGCAAAGCTAATTGCTGGCACCAGTGTGTGGCAGATACTCAGAGAATTAAAAATTGGATGTGGAGAGGAACTAGGAGAGTCTAGCTTCCAGATAAAACAGGCCTCAAAATGCAATGTAAGGGAAGTCTCCCACAGTAAAATTTGGGAACTGATCCGACTTCTCATACGGCCTCAGAAGGCCTTTCTCCTTCCACTTTAAACTTGAAATAAGGGAATGAGCTGGAGATCATCTATAGAATAAACAGGGACATTTTCGGAGATGAATTTTGTGACAGCAGTCCTCCACTAAGTGGAAATGACTTCGGGTTGATGGAAGTCATGTCTGCATAGTCCTCAGATGGGTTAATGAAGGTGCAATTTAAATCACGTCCCTTGCACTCTCTTCTTTCCTGCACATTAGGGAAAAAGGAACCACCTGCTTTTTGAAAAAGCTTTTTTTGATTTAAGTTGTGCCAGATACAAGCCCGCAGAGACAAGCCTGCAGGGTGTCATTAGATACTCACACCTACCCTCTCCACCCCTGGGATGAGATCACCCTGCAGTGGTCTTTTTGGGAATGCTGCTTTATAGTTTCACTGTCTCTTTTTATCAGCTCCTTTCCACGACGCAGTTTGATTTCTCTGATAGTCACTGACTCATTAGCATGATTTTTCTCTCTCTAAAACATTTGGGAGAGCATATTTACTCCAAATCCAATTGCTACTGCTACTGCCGCTGCTCCTCTTCCATGGTAAATCACTCCATCAGTGGGCAGCGTGCTATGGTGATTCCAGGACTCAGCATTTGGGATGGCAGATGGGGAGTGAAGAATCTTCTTACGGAGGCAGGGAACTGTGCTAATCACTCCTCTGCCCACTTCAGGAATTGTTCATTTACAGCATCCTGTGGCAATCTGTTGTATTTTGAAGCTGCTGCTGATCCATTTTTTCTTCCCCAAATTATTATCATGTGTTGTCTTTCTTTTTCCGTTCTAGACCTTCACTGACTTCAGCAGAGTTATCCCAGGACTGAACTTTGCCCTTATGTTTACTGAGGGTAGTAAAATGAAGGGAGAAGTTGCCAAAGGTCTTCAACGCAGTGGAATTAAGCTGAGAGAAATAACTCGCAGGGCAGGCTAGAATTGCTGTATTTGTATTACATGACTGATTAATGACAGATAATTATATGACTGATGAAAATGCAGATTCATTCAATTAAGCTAGGATTTAAAAGCTATCAATGCTCTAGGGTATGAGGTGAGCATTGTCCATATTTTTAAATTCTTCCATTTCTTCAAGGGTGAGAAAGGACTTTTGAAGGCCAGTCAATATGATTTTAGGTAGATTACTCATAAAAATATACAAGTCAAGGTCTGCCCTTTGCTGTGCATGAAACAAACATGTAGGTGTATCTGAAAGCTTGGCAAAATCAGAAATAAAAATCCGGGTTTCTTCCGAAAGCTGGTCTTCATGTGGGTTATGAATGCACCCGAAGGCAGTACTTAGTACATTGTGCTCAATGCGCAGTTAAAGATTAAAAGAAAAAAAAATACATACGTTGCTATAAAAATAACTGCAAAAGGTCTATTATTGCAAATAGGACAAAAAGAAAAACAGCTGAGATGAAAATTCACCTGAAATCTATCTGACATTGCTCTGAAAAACAGAGCTGCTTATCACTTATTATATGAATGCTCACAGACCTTCCATACTTTTCATTTCAGTCATTCAAGGAGGAGGATTTATGACTGCTTGTCAGTGGTTTCCTCAAGAAGAGCTTGATGGCAACAGTCAAGAAGAATTTATGAAACAAGAAGCAGAAACTATTGTGGCTATATTTTCCTTTCAGTAAGCTATGCAATAAATTTTGGCAAACAGTCGTCATAAAGCCGTATCTATTAGGGAAAGCTTTGAAGAAATGCTTACCGGATCACCTCCAGATGCAAAGGAAATAGACTGCATATGGTGATTTGCTATGATCTGTGTGATCAAAAAAAAAAAAAAAAAAAAAGAACAAGTTAGTAGGTTTTCTCATACAGTTTACCCTTTTGGTTTCTTTTTTTTTGGTTTGTGTGGGGGGTGGAAATTCAAAACGAAGATCAAAATAACTCCTACATTTCACCAACAAGGAGTGTAAAGAGTAGCATGATAATATAAACAAACTTAAGGATGAAAGTTTTTAATCTACTGTTCCTTGAAACCTATCAGGAGATTGTTAAATGTACTCAGAGCTCCAGTAAATCATACAGCTCTGTCATATAGGTATCTTTGGAGAAATTTTAATCTGCTAGGGCTCACTTTCTTTATTACAGCTAGTGATGAATGGAGGAAAGGGTCCTATTCATCAGAACACTTTTCTGCTGATGCCACCTGGGTGGAATCAATGAAATTGTGCCAACCTGCACACCCTACCATTGCTTCCAGCACCTACTGTGCCATTTTATGCTTGAGATGTTAAACATAAACATGTTTGCAATATACAAACAGAACTTTGAATCTAGCTGCAAATCTAGGATTACAGTCGCAATCTCAGGCACACCCTAGGGCATTTGAAATGCCAAAATTCAATTTGCTTATGTAGAGTTTTAACCAACACACTATTTCTCTGAAAAGAGAAAATTTGTCAGGAATCTCTAATACAAGGAGAATAGCTGTAATGTATTCCTATTTTGAGACTTAACTTACAAACTCTTTTAATAATAAAATCATGCAACAAATGAGAATGAAAAGGTCATTCTAAAGAAAAGTTTGCTTCATCGTTTAAGTCATAGGAATGATACTAAGTAATTCACTTACTATAGGAGAGGGTCCTTAATTAGAAATCTAGACTATGTGACACTAATCATTTGGATCATAATTGTTTCTTTTGAAGAAGATAATGTATACCATAGGAAACCTAGTTTAGGGAAAGAAAAAAACATTATAAAAAATATTCTCTAGTCTCTTTTCCCATTCTGCATCTTAAAGTCCTGAAATATCCACTTTTTTCCTCGAAGATAAAAAAAAGTCTTACATGAATTTCTCTGGCTTTTGCCATCTCATGCAGTTAGAAAAAAAATAGAGAATAAGCTTTCATATAAAGTTCCTTATTAATGCTCCTTCTTATCTCACAACAGCCTCAGAAGACACAGCTAATTTTTAAATGCTCAGCAGAGGACCATTATTCCCTTACTCCTCAATGGGGATTTCCCTCGCATGTTTTTTTCTTATAAAGAATATGTGATCTTAACGTCAAAAATGAATCGTGTAGATTTCTATTTAGCAGAATTAAAAAAATGAAATTATTTCAGATTGTTTTAAAAATCAATTTTCCAAATGTTAAGGAAACCAAAAGATTTTTTTAAACTATCAGTTCAAGTCAAGCAATTTTTTTAATGCAACCCCAGAGCCAGGGGTACACACACTAAAAGCCTCTGTTCATCCATCCCTACCAAGGTCCCAAAGCTTCTGTGAAGTGCAGTGTCGCTCCCAGTGCCCAAGGAACAACAGCCCAGTGTTGCCCCTTCTTCCACCTCTACTAGGAACAAGTGGATATTGCAGAAGTCCAGGCTGTCTTTCCTGAGCGGGCCTTGAAGGACAGAGCTGCTGGGACCTTGTGCCTTAGCAGTTCAGAGAGTAAGCAAATGTTTGGCAGGAAAAAGAAAGAGGGGAGATCAGGGCTAGCCTGGGGATCTTTGAGGAACAAGATGTTCCCCAGTCCTCCAGCATACAGATGCAGTCTATCTCAGAACGAACAATGTGAGAGAAACACTCTCTTGTATTTCAGTTCACTGGAAATTACTTCACCTCTCCCTGAGAAAAGCCAAAGCATTTATGGGAAAATCCTTCCCTGGAATAAATCAGTTTTAACTCCATTTCCAGATGAAGAACAAGGCCACTTTCAGGGTTTGGTGCTTCTTTAATAGATCTTTTTGCCATCTAGCTCCTGTGCTGCTGGCTGGGGGCAAGTGTCCTCACAAAAAACCCTACTGTGCGGATGCCTTAGCAAACACCCCCACACCATTACACCAGCCATACTGCTGCTCGCACAGTCTCTGTGCTTTCCCTGCAGAAGATTACAACATTTTCTAAATGAGAACAAAAATGAAGAAAAAACACATCAGTAGAAACATCATTATAAACAGCAAGCTTTTAAATATGTCATGTGTAGTCTTTCGTATCCTTTCATCCTGAGGCTTCTGAGGACAGCAGGATTTTTTTGTCTTTCATCCTTCCCTCCTTTTCTTTTTTTTTTCCCCTCACTAGCTGTATCTGGGCAGAAAGTTGCGTGCCTTAACGCAGCATGTAGCTCACAGCAAATAGCACAGCAGTGACTACGCAAGTCTGCCTGCTCTCTCTTTATATATACCCTGAGCAAGGATTTTTTTTTACTCTCATCTCATACATCATTCACAATCCACTGCAGTGATTCCCCAAAGTCGGTATGTACCTTCAGCACAAAGAAGAAGAAGGAGAAAAGGGCTGTTTGAGAACGGCTGCCTTGTATTTCTAAAATACAGGGCATTTCACTGCACTGAAAAATCCCTGTGGCTGTATTTTTAGCAGCACCCTAGGAACAGATTGCCCTTTAAGACTCTAAAGGGAAAGAATGAACGACAAATTGGGGATACTCATTCATTTCTTCAGTCACCTACTCCATCCTTAGCCCTATGAAAGTTTGCAATTGCAGTCAAACAAAAGCTCCTGTCCTCAGAAAATGCCATTTTATATTGTAGGTCTGTTTACAGAAAAACAGAGTTACTTGAAACATAGACAAAAGAAAATAATTCATCTACGCTATTTTGAATACTTAAACAGTGGTGACTCCTACTACATTTCATAATCTCTTTTCATTCACTCTATAAATGTTATTCAGGAATAGTATTTTGAGCAACTGAGTGTTTTGGCAGGCAGAATGTAACTGTTCAACAGGCTATTCATCAAAAGCTTTACTAACTACTATGGCAGTTCAACTCACCTGTTTTGTGTCAGGTGTCATTAGATTTAAGCTGGTGGTGGAGATATTCAGCATTATGCTCATTCCTGCGAACTGAAGATTGCTCTTTCCCAAGATGCTGGAAAGAACTTTACTTGGAGGCTGTGAAGGGGAAAAGAAAAAGCACATTTTTTGTTCTCTATATATTTGGGATGAACATCTATGCTATGCAGAGTTATCTGAATTACTATAGGCTCCTATAAAGTTGCTGACTTTCCAAAGATCATTTCACTGGAACTGCTGTATCTTTTTTGGATATCATTCTTTCTAAAAAATAATAGTCACAATAATAAAGATAATGAATAAACAGGTATGCATGGCCTCATTGGCCTCAGTAGGTATGATCTGAATGAAATAACAAGTGTTAAATTCATGGGAGACAAACAAGTAGACCAAGATAAATGTCTTAAGTCAGTATATTAAAACTAGATGTTCTTACCCTGGAAAAAAACAATTCAGACCCTGAGGAAAAAAAAAACGGTTGCTTTCTCTGCATTTATCGACTGCTCTATCCCCTCTCCACATGGAAAGTGGGACTCCTGTGAAGGGGATATTGATGGGACAGTCACAAATAGTTAATCACAGTGTCACTATACTTGTCGCCTTCTCAGCAGTCAGTATTAGCAAATATCTGCGTATGTGGGTCCCCCACGCAGCTAATGATCACTCCTAATTGGGAGTAAGTACAAAGTGTGGGAAGACAGAGGGGTTGCAATAAGACTTACAACTTTGCAGGCCTTTCATCAAATTTGCATTGGCGACAAGCTGCCCATAGCCTTAGAAAGATTTGTCACTACTAAAAGGCTGGACACATATGTGCCACTCTACACCTTCCAGCTCACATAGATGCAGCTCCAGCTTCTTTTCTTTCTGTTTATTAAAAATACACTACTTGAATACTTCTTGTACGTAGGTGTAGAAATGCAATATCTGTTCTGTACTAATGCTAAACATACATCCAGAGCTAGTATATTCCTTAACTTCTCTTTAATGCAAGCCCTTCTCAACAATGCTGTTTCTCTAGAGCTCTTCCTTAATCCACCTCGGCTCTGCACTCCTGCCTGAGGATCTCCTCTCCCCAGTGCAAGAAACAAGCTGTGCAAAACTACCCCAGAGAAGAACATTTCACTTTAACCACATTCGTAAGGAAACCCAGAGAGTGATGAAAGTGCAAAAGCCACCTGTCTTTAAGATTTAGCTGTAATCCTGTTGCTAGGCAAAATTTCTCGGCAAACAGTAGGCTTGTTATGAGAAGCCCCAGACAAGAATGCACCCAAGGACATAATTTTCACTGCTGTTGCTAGTACATCATGAGAGAGGACGGGCAAAACAGCAGCTGCTGCTGGTACATCATGAGAGACTATGGAAAAAAACAGCAAACATCGGCTAACGACGAAGATAAGGACCATGGTATCTTCAAGGATCCTGCTCAGACTGGGCAATGGGGCCAAAATAGGGCTCCCTGAGACAAAATGAGACCATCTATGGAAGTGGGTTAACAGAGTTCATCATCAGAAGGACTCTGAAAGATGAGCACCAGTGGCCTCAGAATGAGTGCCAGGGGCCACCAAAGGGACAGAGGGTGCACACGTGTGAGGGTGGGGTATGTTGTAATTAGTTCCAGGATACAGAATGAATATGTATGATCATTCTGGGAAATTTTATGCATATGTAGATAACAGAAAAATATAAGCTTTGCTTAATGCAACTTACAGCATGCACGATAGGAGGAGCTATCCCCCACGTATCCAGTACCGCAAAAAAGAGAATAACTACTTCTTAATGCTACATTGGTGTTAGGTTTATTCCCAGTTTCAGCAACAGGATTATTTTAAAAACAGCATCCCTTTTCTGCAACAGATAATCAGTCCTGCTTATGAAAACAGTAATACAGCAAGGTGCCTCTTTAGGCACTTGGGACTCTCTTTTAACCTACTTTTACAGTCATGCCTTGCATCATTTTTGCATTTCAAGGAAAATAAAAATTTCACCTTTACTGTCAGATTTAAAAAGCAAAACCAAGCAAAGAACCTAAAAATGCCATGGGGTATATCTGCAGGGAGGTGGACTCCCTGTAATTTCTGAGAAGGTTTCCATTATGCTATAACATATATGTTGCTCCATCACCTTATTCAGCCGGGGGCCAGGTGCACAAACCCGGTGACTGTCTCACCTTTTGTCCTAGGATCCTGCCTAAATAGCCAGGCAGGTAGGAAAGCAAGCAGGCATTTTCCTTTACCTACTTTCTTTCTGCATCCAACAGCCATTAACAACACAGCAGCTACAATTAATTGCATTCTACATGCTCCCCTTAGACTTGCTGCAAACCAACTCCTGGCATTGCCTTGTGGAAATGCGGGCAGCCAAAGATGGCTATGGGAGAAGAAAATGAGCCTAAAGTGGCCAAGGCAAGGTGGGAGTTATGGGCATAGCTGGAGTATCTTCTGAACGGCTGGCAGCACATGCTTATGAAAATAGCATCAGAAATCACCTGGTTTCACCTGAGAATCACCTGGTACCTTCTCTCTGTTTCCAGAAACCAGCAGCTCAGGAGCTTCCTAAAGTGTTTAATAATCATCAAGAGTAGGGCTATCCACCATGCTCTGAATGAATCACTTGCAAAGCTATTTATATTTTTGGCTTCTACAAAAGCTTCCAGAAGCATTTTTCACAATTTACTCATGCACTGTAAGAAGAAGTATCCCCTTTAGATGGTTTTGAGCCTTTTACCAACAGCCTACACAGGCAAGCAGGGATTTTCTGCAGGAGGCAACATAAAGGCAAGACACAAACATTTCCTAAATATACTCAAAGTTCTAGTCACCTATAAAAGAAGATCCTGACCAAAAGGGTGACAGGCTACATACAGTGGATGAAAACAGCCTATACTTCAAAAGATTAATGATCTGCAATTCTCAAAGCTACTTTTAAACTCACCTGCCTGCTGTGCCCAGTCTCCTCTGTGTTGAACTAAGAAAATATGGTCAACTGCACTAAAAGAAAAATACCTTTCGTTTCTTGAAGGCTCCTTTGGCACCAGGTACAGCTTCACAAACACGACTGATTGCTTCCCTGAAGAGAAAGAAAAAAAAAAAAAAACCCTTTATAGCAAGAAGATGTGTGGCTTTCTCCATTTTACTGCTGAAATACGTTGGAGGAGAGCGGCTCCAGACAAGTTTGTATTCAGGGTTGAGAACAAGGAGTGGGTCATTTAGCTCTCTCCTCACCACTAACAGGCTTCATTCACATTTAGATTACCTCAGCCTAACACAGAAGACAGTTAATGGTCAATGTTAGTGTAAGGAACACACTGTGAGATGACAACATCCAAAAGAACTTCTCTAACTGTAAATTAGAGTATTTATTTTTAATATCTTCTTCCCACTCTCATTTTTGTATCTACAAAATGACAGATGATAGATTTTCTATTTAAAAAATGAGAGAGGAAAAATGTATTAAATTCATGGGGAATCTGATAGTAAGCGATATTTTCAAGAAACATTCCTCTAGACCTTTTTAGTAATATTAAAAAGAGTGTACTTTTTTTCCTATTTACTGTACACTTGCATAGCCAGAGCAAAGTCTCCTGCCATGACATAATACTAGAACCCTAAAATCATCCTGATAGAAAGAAATGTGATACATTTGACAAATGTTTTGAAACAAAACCGTTAAAAGGTTATATATTTGTTCACTGTGATCCATTCCCATGACATCTGTGACATACATATCTGTGACATATATTTGCCTTTGTATTTGCCTTTGTGGCCATAATTTTACATGGTTAAGAAAATGAATGCCATTAACATTTTCTTTTAGTTTTCCAATATTGCTTCACTCTTCCTGTTATGCTAATAGCCCAAGTGAAGAAATGCACATTGAAAATGAATTTGAATTAGGAAAATAGCTACATATGGCCAAAATTTCCAACCATTCAAAACTACAAACAAATCTTTTACATCATTTCAGGATGTAAAAATAGATTAAACAAGTAGCTAAGCTGATCACTAGTTAAAAATTGCTACAGTGCATGCACAGACATTCTTGTCACAATTAGCAACACTGCTGTAATAGATCTGTTTCATTAACTGATACTGTAAGACAGAATGGCTCCATAGGGATCGGTAAGGGTAACTACAAACTATTGTTTACCTGTTATAAATATTGATTGAGAATGCAAACCATTAACGCTATATTAGCAAGCAAGGAACATGTACTTTATGAAAATAAAAAACAAACAAAAAATAGAATATAAGATGATGAACTCCAAGCTGAAGAGCTGTCAAAATAATCCAAACCTTGAAATGACACCTTGCTAGAAATAAGAAAATGACTTAAATTTAATGCTATGAGAGGGATAGTATTTTATCTACCTTCTAGGTGAATACATGGGATTATCAAAGGAGTCAGGAAGAAGAGGTCGTATGTACTAGGAATAATACACAGTGGCTCAACAAATGACGTGACAGAGTTATCAGTAGTCACAACATAATTAAGCTTTAGGTGCTTTTAAACTAGGGCCCCATCCCTGTTCAAATCACCACAATGCCCCTTTGAATTCAAGCAAGTGTCTAGTAAAAGTAGTTACTGGAGTTTCTTGCACAGAGGTTTAGAATAGTTTGGTTTAAAGAAGTCCTGATGAATCTTAGACAAATAATAGGGCAAACAACACACCTACTTATCAATATGATAACTGGACAAGATATTCAGCTCTTCATGCTCTGTGTCTCCTCCTCTCATGCCTTTACCTCTGTTCCCACCAGCGCTCTGCTTCATATATTATGATGACCTCCAAGTTTTGCCTCTCACAAGAAGTGACATGGATTTCAGGGACATGACATTTGACAGACATATTTGCTTGCAATTTCCTTTTTCTTCCTACTTGCCTCCATCATTTTCTACTTGCAACTGCAAGTCAAATTTTCTGGTTTTCCTGACAAATAGAGCTTAAGAGCTTGCTGTACTTCTGGTGCATGGCTGGTGCTTGCAATGTTCTTCTTTTCGCTCCTACGCCTTCTGTCTGTAGGATTCTCCTGATTACCAGAATTACAAAGCTTGTTAGACCAATCTTATTCAAGGATATTGCTGAACAAAACAGTCATCTGAGGCCAGGACAGTAAAGGTGCTGCCACAAGAGGCTGAATCCCATCACCAGGTTAGCAAGGCACCTTGATTGCCGTTGCAGAATCACACAATGGTGAGGTTGGAAGGCATCTCTGGAGATCACCTAGTCCAAACACCTGCACAAGCACAGTCACCCAGAGCATGTTGCATACGGTTGGGTTTAGAAGATCTCCAGAGAAGTCGACTCCACAACTCCACATTACTGTAAACCCATCTCCAAAGAGCAAGGTGAGCAGAAAGCAATTCACAGCCACATGACCTTGTGCTCAGTACTAAGTGCAAAGCACAGATTTTCTAGTTCTGGGTGTCCATGGCAGTAAACACCACAATTTAAGCCAACTCAGCGCTCAAGAAGTGTGCACAAGCACTGAAAATGGAAGAAAGACCTGAAAAAGGTGATGACTCATTGCTACTCATATAAGGCACTTACACTGGACAATTGCTTTGTTTCTGGGAATTCTGAGTAATAAATGTACTCAGACAACTTCTGGCAAAAATGCCAGCAACTTTAGAAAAGATATTTTGAAAGCAAGACTGTCCATGCAAGATGAGAGTAATCTGCCAAGCCCAGAGATGGCTTTCTCAGCAGCAATCCCTCACGTACCTGCAATAAAAAGTGCAGTACTTTCTCCAACTAGGAGTTACGGAGTCTTACAGAAGGATCTGATGAATATGGGAATAAAAATGTCAGCTGGATATCCTGTCATATGCACTTTTCTGGGGGAAGGTTCCTGAATTTCCATGTTAAGAATATTCCAGACCAACTTTGGCAGAGGGTTTTGCACATAGTCTGGTGATAGGGAGAAAACATCCTAAAGCTTATTTCTAGTTTGCATTGCTAGGCAGGACAGAGATGACATTTCCTTTTGCAGCAAGACAAATTTGCACATGCTTATGCAGCATAAATACCTGAACATCAAAATCAGACCCAGAAATAGCTACTAGGTCAAGTTGTGCAATTGTGCAAGCAAATGCTGGCACGTGTCTAAGAAATCAATGCAAAAACAGAAATTTTGGACATACTTGCATGGCTAAACAGTTGCATGGACTTTGGAAAAGTTGAATGTCTCTACATTTTCTTCCTTTTCAATAAGGAAGCTATTTGACATAGATGCCTGCCACACTTTCCTATGCTATGTGCCATTTCATTGGCTAGGCAGTGATCTCAGAGAAATACCGGTGTAAAGTTATCTTGATCTCTTGTAAAATTAGCTACTGTGCAGTCTGCAGCAGGGACCACATGCTGAGTTCCAAATCTGTCCAAGAGTATTTTCTGCTTTGCAGATGGTCATGATGTGGAGTCATTTTCTTGGCACAAAACACATTGTATATTTGAATATAGATTTCAGCATTCAAATGTATCCAGTGAAGAGTTATCAAAATGCATTTTCCCAAGCAGACCTGTTCTGCTTTAAAGTGCCTTGACATCTCTGTGAAACAAAAGAAGAGGCACTTTAGATTGGCATTTTGTTCTATTAAAAAGGCTAATGTTCTGATACTTTTCATAACTTCCTTATATTTTATTCTGGATGTGGTATAAAGTAGCCCACTCAAGAAGCTGAAATCTGTTCATTTAAGAAACACCGTCACATGAAAATACTCCCTCTTCTTGTAGTTTCAGTGAGTTTTTGGCTGTGATTGGGTTTTGTTGTTGACGTTTTTTAATTAAAACCATTTAATTGATTAAGAAAACAGAAATCTGGAACTAATCTATCAAGGCAATTACAGATACATATGAATTGCACAGAACTTTATCAACATGTTTGGAAAAAGAATAGCTATCTCTGACATTAAGACTAGGAACCATGACAAGCTGTTGCTCGGAAATGTTTTGTATGACCACACCAAAAAACATCAACATTCTTTTCTTCACATGTTTTAGTATCTTACAGTTCCCAAGTTTACCTTTGCCAACTTCAAAGGTAGGGGCGTCATAGCTAGATAACAAAAATGTTCACAAAATAGACATGAAAAGATAGATTTTATTAATGAATGACATATCCAGAAGAATTGTACAGAATGTCTTTGGTAGTTATTTGAAAGAATTAAACTCTTGCCATTTTTAACAGTTCATAACTGTATACGGCATTTATATTTTTTGAAGAGAAACAAAGTCTACACTGAAATTAAAAAAAAAAAAACTTGGTTCTGAAAAAAAAAAAGAGACTAAAAGACCTTTTTATAAAATCATTTAATAAGTGAAATATCAATTGTTCATTTACATAGCAGGTAAGACAAATATGCACTTTTTGAGGAAGGAAAGGAGACATTCACAGACTCAGAGGACCAGGGTAACATACTGCTATTTACAAAACTTTAGACACCATCAGGCGAATCGACAATGGCTGGAAGAGAGGCTAAAAAAGGAGCTAATGAAAATATATCAGCAAATGAGGAAAGAAAGGGCAGAAGGGTGGCTATGAGAAGTAATTAGTGCCTCTAATTTAACCTGGAGGCCTGCAGGTGGACCACTGAGAAGGTGCTGGAGAGACCTCATGATGCCACTTTTTCATGGCAGACTCCCAGAACTGGAGTCTGTCCTGCTGTATGTGTGATGGGAAGCAGGGAAGAAAAGGCTTGCGGAACAAGGCAACCTTGGCAGATGTGTCAAACAAGCTATTGTTGATTTGTGGAGCAAGTAGAAGACAGTTCCTTCTGTCCCTCCTCAAAGGTCCTCATTTTGTTTCTTTTTATATGCAGAATATCTATTTAAAAAAAAAAAAAAAAAAAAAAAAGCTAACCAATTTCCTTTTTGGTGTATTTAATAGCCTTTACACAATAGTAAAGCTATCTTTGGCAACTGTTAGATAGAAGGAGTATTTTTCCACTAGTGATTCTAGCAAGGGCAACTTAGTTATCTTAACTCTCGTAAGTCTTCACTGCAGGTCTTGCATTAAAATGCTAACAGAAGTCAATATACTCAAGAAGCATCTTTAGCTTTCACTGCA